ACTACTACGCCTACTGCGACTACTACTACTACTACTACTACTACTACTACTACTACTACTACGACTACGACTACTACGACTACTACGGCTACTACAACTACTACTACTACTAGGCCTACTACTACTACTACTACTACACTACTACTACTACGACTGCTACTACTACTACTACTACTACTACTACTACTACTACTACTACTACTACTACTACTACTACTACTACTACTACTACTACTACTACTACTACTACTACTACGTATGAAGGGTGAGATTGTGAGCAACGCCTTCGGCGACAAATGTCTCGATCTATAGCGCCATTATCTTACAAGCGTGCTGACAATTCCTACATCTTGCAGGGTAGCCCAGGGGGCATGATTCGCTGGGAGAAAGACCCCCAGAAGATTACCCAGCGCAGCCAACAGTAGTGGGAAACTACCTGGTGGCCCACGACGCGGGCGCCGACGACGAAGATGTAAACGTGTATCGTACATGTGTCGGCATATATTGGGATCGTGGTAAAGCTACGACGATCTGAAGGAGAAGATTGTGAGCAACGCCATCGGCGACGAGTGTGCCGATCTATGGTGAAATCTTCTTGCAAACATGTTCAACACTCCTCTGTCGTGCAGGGTAAGCCCAGGGAGCCTGATTCGCTGGGAGAAAGAATCCCTAACATTATCCAGCACGGCGAACAATGGTGGGAAACCAAGTGGTGGCCCGCGACGAGGGAACCGACGAGGAGGAGGAATGAGAAGAGGAGGGCGAGGAAGAGGGGGAGCAGGAGGAGGAGGAGGGGGCAGAAGGAGGAAGAGGTGGAGGAGTAGGAACAGGAGCAGAGGAGCAGGAATAGGAGGAGGAGAGGCAAGTTTTGTTTTCCGCCGAGAGAAACAGGGGGGGCCTCAAAGCTAAAGACTTCCTGAGGTTACTCCTCCTCCCTCCTCCTTCTCCTCCTCCTCCTCCTTCTCCTCCTTCTCCTGCTCCCCGCTCCCTCGGCCTCCCTCGATCCCCCCCCCCGCGCCCCGCCGCGGCGGCGCGCCCGCCTCTTCGAAGGTCGCCTGGCCGGCCTGGCGGGCGAAGGGCTCCGCGTCCTCGGGGAGATGAGATCTGCACATGCCCACCGCCCCTGGCCAGGCACGTCCTTTAGGCGGAGGGCTTTCGTCACGTGATGCGAAGTTCCACCCTCCCGATCGAATAGCCCCCTCCTCTTCCCACTCTTTATATGCTCCTCCTCCTACTGCTCCTCCGATTCGCATCAAGGGAAGGATCCAAGTCGCCGATCCTTGGCCGAAGAGCGGTGTATACGTAGGGCAGAGACTCATGGGAGGTCTTCACAAGCTTCACAAGAACGATTACGAACCATTAAACCCGATTAAGGGGGCACTTCGCCAAATGTAGCCAGTGAGCCCAATATGATTGTTCTTTTTGTCATATAGAAACACACACACACACACACATTCTCCAAAACACAAGAGAAAAACAAGCAAACAAAAAACGATATAAACATGCGCACTGCGCAGATTTCTTGATCCGCGCTGGAATCCCCCTCCCTGGCGCGCGAAGCGCGCCAGGGGCGGCGCCTGAGGCGCCGCCGGGGGGGCCCAGGCGCCGATCCAGGAAATCCGCGCGGAGCGCCAAAAGTTAATGTGTATACGTTTTTTCGTCGAGATAAAGCGGATTAGACGGGATCAAACAGGATTAGACAAGATTCTGCCAGACCGTGTCCGTTTTCCATCACGGGTATACCAACGCCGATGCAGACGGGATTCCTTCTGAAATCCCCAGGAGCGGTCCATGGTTTGGCCAGGGAACTATCTACGCCTCTCCTGGGCCTGGGAAGGGCCTGACCAACGGCGGCGGATGTGTGCAAATCTCGGCGCCCAAGTCCTGCCGGTACTGCAGCGACTGGCCCCAGTTCTGCTGCGGCTGCGATATCCTTGTGCCGGGTGGGGATGAACCGAGAATTTCTGAGATCTGGCGGCTCTGAAGGATGTATCGGGCGCCGCGGCCTTCTCAGAGCGTTCCGGAACGCTCTGGGAGCATTCCAGAACGCTCTGGCACGCATTTTTCATCGTCCTAGCCCCGTCCGATTATTCCCCAATCCCCCCATGTTGTCCGCCCCGTGGAACGCTTTTGACCCCAACTGCGCCTCGATTCAAAGGACGCACAAACCAAAGGCCGACGGAAGCACGTGTGGAACGCGGGGCTCCCTCCGAAGCATCCTGAAAGGTTTGTAGGCGGCCAGGGAGGTCTGCACTGGACGGACCCCGAGAAAATCTGCAAAGCAGGGGGGGACGAGGCCAAACCCGCTGAAAATCTGCCCTGGACCCCTCCCGGGGGGTTCGAAACTGACCAGTTCTGTCGGAGCCGCGCTCAGGCCGTGGCGACGAGGGGCCTCAGTTCTCCCCCCCCCATTTTGCTGGCCCGAGCCACTGCTTGGCCACCTCAGCCAGCTCCAGACCTAACCCCTCTCCCTTCCTCGACAATGTGCCACGCTAAAGGCCACGAGTTTGCGGTGTCGTGCGCCGCGGGCGGCGGGCGAAGCCTGACACACAAGCGGGCGAGGCAGGCGCGCGTGTCCTCATGTGATCCTCCCCTTCGTTCTTCTGTTCTTCATATTCCCCTTCATTCTACTGCTCTTCATCCTCATCCCTTGTATTCCTCACCCCGTCCTGAAAGACCAGTGCGTGAGGTAGACGTCCACGTAGTCCGTCTGCAGCCTCCTCAACGACCCCTCCAGGTCCTCCCCAGTAACAGGCGGCGGCGACGGAGCGCGCGCTGGAAACGGCCCTGCAACACCTGCGTTTTGCATGCACACCGACGTCAACAACACTGCATCGCTGTGCGGGGTACAACCATCATGCTACCAGAAGGAGCGCTGGATCAGGAACGAAGACCTTGCCTGGCCACGGCGAGCCTCGGCCACGAATCGGTTCGACAACCTAGGTGCAAAGAACGGCGCGACCACCACAGCCGATCATGAGAACAAGCTGGTCCTGTCCTTAAAGCCCGACGCCTCTCGCCAGAATAGTGATTCAGATCGCATGCCCCGAACAAGCTGGCCACCCGGTCGCGGGCCACTGTCGTCGCACCGCGGCGAGGCAGGTCCAGGACTGCGGAAGGTTGGGGCCAGGGTGCCCGCGTAAAAGAACGCTCTCCAGGGCCACCAGGCAGCGCGGGCGTGGCTTCGGCATCTCAGGGCCGGCTCTCCCAGGATGCACCGGGGGGTGCGAAGGGCTCAAAACGAAGCGGGGCCTTCTTTCTCCAGAACGCGGAAAAGAGATGTCCAGAGGAGGAACGGATGAATGAACAGACGCTCGGGGACGCCCCCGTCAGAGACGAACGGCGGCGGCGGCGGCTAGCGTAACCTAGTGAAGTCCCTGCGTTAAATCTGCATATGCAATGCCACAGCTACATCAAGGCCTGCCCCTCGAGGAACAAAATTTAGGAGGAGCAGGAGGAGGAGGAGGAGGAGGAGGAGGAGGAGGAGGGGGAGGAGGAATTTGAAGAGGAGGACCAGGAGGAGGAGCAGGAGGAGGAGGGGGAGGAGGGGGAGGGGGAGGAGGAATTTTAAAAGGAGGAGGAGGAGGAGGAGGAGGAGGAGGAGGAGGAGGAGGAGGAGGAGGAGGAGGAGGAGGAGGAGCAGGAGCAGGAGGAGGAGGGACGCCCGCCGAAAAAAAGGGAGGGCGGACAAGACCACGAGGCGAGCGAAAGAGGAGCCCTCCCGTCCCCCGCACGCGCGGGGCGGGCGCGAGGGCGCGCACTTAAAGGAATGCCAGCTTCGTGACCAGTGGCGCGCAGGCAGGGCGGCGGAGCCAAGACAAGACAAGACAAGAGCCCGCGTCGAGGCACCTACGAGGGTGCGGCGGGAGGGCGCCGGGGCGCCGCTCAGAAGCCGGGGTCGGGAAATGGCAGCCGGGTCGGAGAGATGGGAGTGGGTGACGGAGCCGCAGTCGGAGAAGAAGAACCACACGTACTGCCACAGTCGAATACATTTGACCAGAGTCGGCGGCGGAGCCAGGACGGCAGAAAAAAGAGCATAAGGAGGGCGGCCACCGCGCCTCCCAGAACTGGGCTGTTCGAGAGAATACCCTCAAGGTCAGGAAGCAACTGCTGGGAGGTCTTCGTCGGAAAGATTAAGGAGGATTAGGGCCCCATTGTGGGGCTGTTACGCCAGAATGGGCTTCGGATCAAGCGGGATTAAACGGGATTGAGCGGGATTAGGCGGGATTAGGCGGGATTAAGCGGGATGAAGCCGGACTTCGGACCAGGGCAAAATCAGAATTGACATCCAAAGAGTTGCATCCGAATCCAAGTATATGCTGGAAACAAGGGGCACCGCATTGTCCCGACCCCCGACCCAACCCTGAACAAACTAAACACATGCTCGGGGGTGAAGCAACTACCCGGCTTCGCACAAAACATATAGACCGCCCCCCGTATCTTTGACTTGAAGCACGCGCTGGCTCAGGGTGTTGGTGACTTGCCTCAACGATGCTTCAGCGCCCCCAATGCCGACGCACACCCCCGAGCATTTACTCCTGGCATCACTCGCGACTTCCGAATGGCCAATCTCATGATTCTGTAGCTTGTGGATGAATGGTCAGGCGGAAGGCGGGGCTCGGGATAACAAGGACGCGCTTGGCCATATTCAAGGCAGGGGCAGAAAATCGTCCAGCACACGCCAGGACGCTGAGGATGCGAGGTCGGGTAAAGAAGAGGTCCTGTCACGCAGTCCCTGTCGTCCACAAGCGCGCCTGGCGCGATCGGCAGCTCGGAGCAGCGACTCCGGATCGGACTCGGGAAGGGGGTGATACAGATACACATCAGCCAAAAAAACCAAATAAGGCACCCCTGCTGGACGCCGCGTTCAATCTGGGAAAATATCGGATCACACCCATGAATGCGGATACCCATGCGCATGTTGGAGTAGAGGGAGCGAATACCACGCCGCACGTGCCAAGAAAGGTTCAAACGTTTCAGTGCATTCGATACAAAAGCCATGCAGGGCACTAGGGAACGCTGCCTCGATGTCGAACAAAGCTACCCCGACTTGACGGTCAATGCTCATGGTGGCCAACCTGCAACGAGCAGCGCCAATGACAAACATAGCAGCCTGCAGCTGCCACCCTCTTCACGCATCCTGTCTGGAAGGGTTCAGCAGTGTCCTCAGCAGCCTTGCCCAACGCGAAGCCTGCACACCTGGTGGCGATCTTAGCGTCAGAGTTGCCGAGCCAAGCTGGGCGGGCGCAGGCCGGAGCGCGTGCCAGAGTGCCAGGTCCACCCGGACACTCCTTCGGCGGGGAGCATCTCAAGATAGGTTGAGATATGAGATTCGCGGCTGGCAAGACTGGGATTTCAACGTTTCTGGCAAAGTGAAGAAAGGTAAAAGTACGCGTATGGCACGATAGCACGAGGGAAACATAAGTGCGGATCGAAAGAAAGAGTCAGGCAAAGTACGCGAAACGCAAGTGTGAAATATGTGCAGCGCGGCAGTACGGGCATGAAACAAAGTACGAAAAAAAACACACACGCACGTCCAAAGCACAAAACATAGTGAACAAGTCATGGAAGTATGAAACATATGAGCAAAGCACGAGGTGCGAAAAACATATGACACATGTATCACTCGCTCTCTCTCTCTCTCTCTTTCACGTTCCTCGCACTTCGGATGTTCCTGAAATTCTGTACTTCGTACTTCTGCGCGGCGCATTTCTCGTATTCGTACTTCGTCGTGGTACTTCTTCCATTGCAATTGGGGTACTTTGAGTTCCTCTGGGGGTGCTGGGGGTGGGTCCAGTGTAGCTGGCCGAAATCCGTCGCAGGTTGAAGTCGTCTGGCAACTCGCCAGAGGACATCTGACATTGATGAAATTTGAAAAGGACGCCTACTCCAACTTCCTCTGCAGCTTTCCAGGCCGCATGTGGAATTCCGTCGGGTCAAGGGGGCGGCGCGTCTTTTGCCCGCCCCAGCATGTCCCAGAATTCTGCCCGATGCAACGCCAAGGGATACCGAGCACCACCCTCGGCAACATCGGCATGGTGGGGGCAGGGCCGACGTCCTCGCATGCGGCTCGACGGGTGCGATGGCCGGCTGCCCCGTCGGCCGTGATGCGGACGATCTGCCTGCTGCTGACTGGCATGACTGCACTGGGTGTGGATCCTAGCGATCCAGCTGGGGCGCAGTTAGGCGGCGTTGAAGAACCGCTGCATCTCCTCCGCTGGGAAGGTTGACACGTTGGGCTCCTACTGGGCTGCGACAACGTCCTCAGACCGAGGCGAATGCCTCACGATCTTCACTATTACATAGATTTCACTAGAGAAAACGAAAACCCACCCCCACCCCCAGTCCCGACCCCATCCCCGAACCCGCGATCCAGGGGGTCGGGACTGGGGGTGGGGGTGGATATTTTAGGTCTAAGAATGGAGAAAAAGCCCCCCCCCCAGTCCCGACCCCTTGACTCGCTGGCTTCGGGAATGGGGTGGGGGTGCGTTCTCGCCTTCTGATCACGAGGGGTTACTATCATCAGATCACCGTTGAACCCACTCACTCCGAGCTCGCACTCCGCGTTCTACTAGGGGTGTGAGCGCAGGCGGTCCAAGATCGGCTCGTCGATGCGGCTGAGCTGTCTCTGACGGTCACGGACGTCGACCGGTAGATCTTGCCGAATGCGCAGCTGATGGGTCCGACCATCACGAGGGTCGCACCACTGGAGCGAAGCGATATTCACATTCCCCGAAGAGTGACGAGATGCTGCCAAGGAATGCTAACACTAACATGTAGTTCTTAGCAACCTTGTGGGGTAAAGGCTGCACATGTGAAGGAAGGATTGGGTTCGCATTCGCGAGCTGTTGGAAGGGTTGGTGGGCGCCAGTGCAACCCGACCCTGCTGCATCGGAGGGCGAGCCTCCTTCCTTGATGATGCCGAAATCTGCGAGTTCGAATCTGCCATTGATGGGCCGTCCTTCATTCCATTGAGTTGGGTCTGGACTGACTCGAGCTTCACGTCGACAGCAGCGGCCACTGCCTCCGCGATCGCTTGCTGCGAGTTCTTCTCCACACGCTGCAGCCTCTCATTCGCGCTGCGCGAGCTCTGGTCGTGAACACCGAGCGCGGTCCTGAAACTGACGATACAGGGAGTCAGGTTAACTGATTGGAACATGTAAGAAGAATTGTATCGCATACAAAAATGAGGCGGAGCGATATCTGATGCTGGGTGCTCTGGCCCAGACCTCACAGCTGCGGGCAAGCTCAAGCCACCGAGGCTCCGCGGTTTGAACTTGAGCCCACATGGCTCTGGAGGAGGACGACGACGACGAGCTGTAACGAAGACGACAACGAAGAGCAGCAGCGGCAGCACTCGGAGACCCGAGGGAGGAGGGGCGAAGGCGGCGAGGATTGCGAGGACGAGCGAGCGAGGCGAGGAGGCAGGAGGAGACCCGAGGGGGAGACGGCGTGGCGAGGCCAGGCGAGGGCGGCGGAGCCCGGGGCGAGGCGGCGGAGACGCCCAGGTCGGGAGACGCCGCGCGATCGCGCGCGCGCGGGGCACGTGATGAGCCTGTTTTCCACCACAACCACCACCATAAGTTGGAGGGGGGAAGAAGGAGGAGAAGGAGGAGGACGAAGAGGCGGAGGAGGAGGAGGAGGAGAACCCCCCTCCAACGTATGGTGGTGGTGGAAAACACGCCCGTCAGCACGGACCTGCCGCAGGTTCTTCGAATTCACGTTGAGCCCGCCTGTGATCTTCGTCGCGACCGCGACCTTCTCGCGGCGGGTCCGGTCCTGCACCGCGGGGGGGCGGAAAGCAACAGGTTGGCACGGGCATCGAAGCTCGGAAGTCTGCGCGGGTTTCGGCGCTGGGACCCCCTACCCACCCTCCTTTACCAGCGCGCGGAGCGTGCCAGGAGGGGCGCTGGAGGCGCCGCACGTGGGTGCCGGTGGATTGTCCCGTGGGGTGTCCCGCAGAATGTCCCGTGGATTGTTCCGTCGGTTGTTCCATTGTTTGTCCCGTAGGCTGATCCATAGGTTGTCCCATGTAGATTGCTCCGAAAGGTTGCCCCGTGGGTTGTGCCGTGGATTTTCCCGTGGGCCCATGTGTCGTCCCGTGGGTTGTCCCGCGGGGCGTCCTGTGGTTTTTTCCGTGGGTGTCCCTGTGAGTTGTCTCGTGGCTGCCCCCTGAGTAATTCAAATCGAATCGTATATCTAAACGCGGTTCCGTTACATATTCATACGAAGGGGGGTTACAGCACGGAGGCTGACAAATGTGAGCCACGCGGCGTGCTACACACATATACATTGCATGCATACTTACGTACGTACGTACATACATACATACATACAGACTTGAATGCATGCATGCATACATACATAAATACACCTGTGACGCAGACAAGAGGGCCTCAAAAGACTCCCAAGAGGGCCTCCATGTAGGTTTTGAACTATATTGCCGCTCTTGCCCTTTCGGGCGCTTGCAAATCCAAAATGGCGCGAGGGACCCCCAGACGGGCTCGAGATTGCAGAAGAGGCCCCAAAACGGCTGAACAAACTTCAAGACGCCCCAAAAGAGGCCAAAGAGCGGCCCAAAGGGGGGGAACCCCGCAGGGCCCCCCCGGAGCCCTCCCCCACGAGATGGCGCCTCTAGGGGCCTCTTGAGGTCTTCTAGGCAGGGAGAAGACAAACCATATTGGTATTCCTCTGGCTGTTTACACACGTTGGCCTTTGGAGGTCCTGGGCGGCTTCGGCAAATCCTCTTGGGCCCTCTGGGGGGGGCATCTTCGGTCCTCTTGAAGCCATCTTGGGCGGTCTTGAAGACGCCTCGCGCTCCAGAGCCGCCTCGGAGCCCTCTTGGACCGTATTGAGCCCCACGAGGGCCCTGGCACCCCCATGGAGGGTCGGGGTCCTTGGACCGGGGCAGCGGGCCTGCACGCCACATTTTATTTATATATATATATATACACATACATACGTGCATACATACACGTATTCCTATACACATGCATATAGGTATACCTATACAAATCAATGTATATATATATACATGTATACATGTACATATATATATGCACAAAAATGGGCATATATATACATATCCATCGACACGTCCATATACATATACAGATACATGTCCTTATGCATATACATATACATATACACTTACCTACGTACATACATGCACAATTACATATACATATACGTGTACACAGACAGTCATATCCATATATACATATACACATACACATAAACATGGCATACACGTAGACATACACGTACACGCACACGTGCACATACATATACACATGCACATGCACATGCACATGCACGTACACATACACATACAATTACAAATGTTGATACATACATGCATACATGCATGCATGTATGCATACATACATGCATGCATGCATGCATGCATACACATACATACACATACATACACATGCATACACATACATACACATACATACACATGTACATACATGTATACATACATACAGACATACTTGGAGTCCCTGCGCAAGCCTCGGAAGCGTAGAAAGGGGAGGTGCGGAAACCACAAAACCACACATGTCCTTTAATTAGGTGTTCGATGAGTTGGGGCCCTAGAAGGCTTCCAGGGATCTTCCTTCGGTGGTGACAGGGGCCTTAAGTATGGTCTCTTGTGCAAAACAAGCATGGGGAAGTTTTGTTTTAAACCGGAATTCTGGGAATCTCCTGTTTCCAAATTGCCATGCCTGGGCCGTGGGTCATAAGTTTCCTGGATACAGGCCGTGGACTGTTGGGACGCCTCTGGGGCATCTTAGCGGCGTCTTGAGAATCTTTCGGTGCCTCTTGGGAAGATCTTGGAGCCTCCCGGGGGCCTCCCGGGAGTCTCCGAAGGCATCTGGGGGGCGCCTCGAGAACCGAACCTTGGCGCCACCTTGGGGCAAAGCGCTCGTAAGGCTTTGGGAGGTCCCCTCTTTTGTCTCTTTCTTGGCGCGCGCGGGCTGACGTTCTAGCTGGGCTGGACAGGTGAACTCATGTGATCTAGATTTTTTGTACGGTGGTTTCAGGGGCAGCCAAGAGGACACGAAGACGACCCAAGAGAGTGCCAAGACAGCAGCAGAGAGTTCAGCAGCATTCCCGAAAAATCTGTGCAATGTGACCCCAAAGTCTTGATGGGGCTCGGGATGAACTTGAACAGCAAGAGAATCACTGGAACTCTGCATGAAGTGAGACGGCATCGGGGGGGGGCCTAAGACGCGTGCAGGGGGCTCTAGGGAGGCAGTTTGGAGGCAGTTGGGGGACTGTGTTGGGGCCTCTTGGGGCCACTTTTGGGCATCTTCGGGGCTCTCGGGGGCCTCTTCAAGCTCTGTGGGGGACTTTGGGGCCTCCTCGGGGCCTCTTGGAGCGAAAAGCCTAGATTGTCGATTTGCGTTCCCCCTGTGGCTTTTCGGGCCATCTTACGGCTCTCTTGGGCTGCCTCGGGGCGCTCTTGGGCCGTCTTGGGGCCTTCTTGGCCCGTCTTGGAGCCGTCTTGGTGGCTCTTGGGTGGTCTTGGGGCGGTCTTGGAGGCCTTATACATACGAACTGATGTATATATATATATATATATATGTGTATATATGTGTGTAAGCACAACGCTGCTTATGTACCATATACACATATACATGCATGCATGTCTACATACATATATGCATACATACATACATACATACATACATACAGACATACAGACATACATACATACATACATACATACATGCATGCATGCATACATGCGTGCATGCATACATGCATACGTACGGACATGCATACATACGTACATGCATACATACATACCTACATGCATGCATGCATGCATGCATGCATATACACATACATGCATGCAGACGTACATACCTGCATGCATGCATACATACACACCTTCATACATACATACACAACTATATATATATCAATATGTATATATATGTAGGCGCGCGATGTACATATCTGTATATATATACATATATATATATATATGCTAAACATATAGTTATGTGTAAAAACCTCTTCGGGCGCTCCCGGGACGCCCCTCGGACCTCTTGAGGCCTCATGGAAGCCTGGAGATCCGTCGAAGTCTGTTTTCGGCTGCTTGGGAGCGTCTTGGGCCGTCCTTTCGCGTTCTGGGAGCTTGTTGGGGGCGTCTTAACGCCCTGTGGCGCGGCACTGGGAATTGCCCCCAGGTGTACCAGAGGTGTGGGACGCACCCGGGGGGGGTGCGCCTTCGTCATCTATATATATATATATATATATATATATATACACATATGTGTGTATGTATATATATATATACATACATACATACATCTACAGTGTATATGTATATGTACAAGATATATATATATATATATATATATGGATATATATATATATATATATATATATACACACTAGAACCACGCGCGCGCTTCGCGCGCGCTTAGGTTCTGCCGAGTCACAGACCCAGGAATCGTTGTGAGAAGAAATTGGTGACGCGAAGCGTCGTGGGGGCGTCCTTGGACGTCTGGGGTCTCCTGGGGCCTCTTGAGGGGCCTCCTGGGGGCCTTCTGGCGGCCTCTTGGGGCGGAAGGCTCGAGCTTGCGGTTCGTGGTCCCCCTCTGGGCCCCCTCTTGGGCCCGTCTTGGGGCCCTCTTGGGCCATCTTGGGCGCCTCTTGGGCCGTCTTGGGGCCCTCTTGGGCTGTCCTGGGGCCCTCTTGGAAGCTTCTTGGGCCGTCTTGGGGCGGTCTTGGGCGCCTCTTGGGCCGTCCTGTAACGTCGGAAAGCCCAAAAGACAACTTTGTTGAAAATGTACGTTTTACGAAGGGAATGGGCCAATTTTTGCGTCTAGGGGCCCTCTTGGGACGCATGTTGGAGGCTTCTTGGGGCCTCTTGGGGGCGTCCTTGGACGTCTGGGGTCTCCTGGGGCCTCTTGAGGGGCCTCCTGGGGGCCTCCTGGCGGCCTCTTGGGGCGGAAGGCTCGAGCTTGCGGTTCGTGGTCCCCCTCTGGGCCCCCTCTTGGGCCCGTCTTGGGGCCCTCTTGGGCCATCTTGGGCGCCTCTTGGGCCGTCTTGGGGCCCTCTTGGGCTGTCCTGGGGCCCTCTTGGAAGCTTCTTGGGCCGTCTTGGGGCGGTCTTGGGCGCCTCTTGGGCCGTCCTGTAACGTCGGAAAGCCCAAAAGGCGACTTTGTTGAAAAATGTACGTTTTACGAAGGGAATGGGCCAATTGTTGCGTCTAGGGGCCCTCTTGGGACGCATGTTGGAGGCTTCTTGGGGCGTCTTGGGGGCGTCCTTGGACGTCTGGGGTCTCCTGGGGCCTCTTGAGGGGCCTCCTTGGGGCCTCCTGGCGGCCTCTTGGGGCGGAAGGCTCGAGCTTGCGGTTCGTGGTCCCCCTCTGGGCCCCCTCTTGGGCCCGTCTTGGGGCCCTCTTGGGCCATCTTGGGCGCCTCTTGGGCCGTCTTGGGGCCCTCTTGGGCTGTCCTGGGGCCCTCTTGGAAGCTTCTTGGGCCGTCTTGGGGCGGTCTTGGGCGCCTCTTGGGCCGTCCTGTAACGTCGGAAAGCCCAAAAGGCGACTTTGTTGAAAATGTACGTTTTACGAAGGGAATGGGTCAATTTTTGCGTCTAGGGGCCCTCTTGGGACGCATGTTGGAGGCTTCTTGGGGCGTCTTGGGGGCGTCCTTGGACGTCTGGGGTCTCCTGGGGCCTCTTGAGGGGCCTCCTGGGGGCCTCCTGGCGGCCTCTTGGGGCGGAAGGCTCGAGCTTGCGGTTCGTGGTCCCCCTCTGGG